TCGGAAGAGATAGGTTTTCCGAAAATAGGCCAACTCAAGCCGTGAAGTCTCTGATCATCGATGGCAAAAACTTTCGGTAGTGATAAGATGGAACAGCTTTTGTTAACTTGAAAACAAGTAGGACATGTGATGTGAAGAATCACATCGCTAATTATGGAATGGACCACAACATCAAATCATTTCGAGTACTAGACTATTATGCATTGCATGTGGTTGAATTTCAGGATTATATATATATATTATAAAGAAGAAAAAGAGAAGATATTGGTCAATTCCTTCTTATTTATATCTAGCATCGTTAAATATATAATGGAGGCCTCTTCAAACTCAGATCACAGTAGCTATAATTTAATTTAGCTTGTGTGAAAACCATGGTCCATTACCTAGTAAATTGGGATCACCCTTTGAAACTGAATTTCTTTCTGGTTTGCATCAAATATATCTCTCAAACAATAACTAATTTCTTTCTATAGTAAATTTTGTTTCTACTAACAAAATCTTGTGCAAGCACGTGATCGGATCAATTGTTCGAAACTGATCAGTTTCAATTGATATTCAAGAGCTGGACCCTAACAGCCAGCTTTCCATGATTTACTTAGCTACCAAGAAAATGCCCCAGTTGATATGACAATCTAAACTCAGAGGAATTGCCAATCAATAGCCAGAAGAAGACTAACGTACATTTGGGCTCTAACGATCTGATAATGATAATATTCACAACTATCGATCTTCAATTCAATTATGGTAGTAAGTAGTAACAACTTTTTGGTCATACCGTTTATTATTTAACTAAGTAGTAACAGCTAGTTAGAATGCCGAATACCATAATTGAAAGTAGCCTTGATAAGGTCAATCTCAAATTGTTGGATATATTGCCCAACACTGATGATGTCATAATGCATATTTTTTCTTCCTCCTCTTTATATACTACTTTAACACAGCTTGGAGTAGAATAGCCCAAGTTCAAGATTAAAAGCAACTATAGAAATGAGTTTCAATTCAAAGGAATATATAGCAGAATTACAATGAATTTATGGCCCCTTGAAACCCTTCGGAACATGATCGTTTAACAATAGATAGCTTGTTGACTACATTTTTAAAACCACGGATATTAAACCAACATACGGCGGCCCAAACATTTTAGGGAACAATAGTTAATATATAATGTAATATTAGAATGGTTTTCATTGATCCTCCACTACGTGGTGTAGCGTTATTTTCTCGAAAATAATATTATATAGTTAAGATTTTGCTAAACGATAATAATATTTTACAGACGTACTTCCTTAATAGTAAAATGTATTTTAATTTGCAATAAATATTGTTAAATTTGATTATGCTTTTCGAACATTTATTTTGTTAATTTACTCTTCATAGATTTTAAAATTTTTAAAAATTGTCTTTCATCCTTCTTACTAATGACGACATGTATTTAAACATGCCACCTTACACAGCATCTTATGATAGCTAATGTTATATTTCTAAATGATGTTAACGTCACACCAATATTGAGATAAAGACTATTTTTTTTAAAAGAAAAAGAAAAAGAAAAACTATATAATGATTAAAATTTTAAAAAAGGTGTTTTTTCATTATGTTTTTATTTTTAAAATATTTTATAAAATAATGTTTCAAACTATATTTTTAAACGAGCTTGAGAATAAAAAACATGTAAAAGTACAAATATATATATAGAGAAATGAGAGGGTTAAAATATAATCTTTAGATTAATTTTTTCTTACTTGATTAAACTTTAAATTTTCTCTAGGAAGCATATCAAGTGAGAGGGAATTTATTATGAGAGATGAGAGGTTTAAAATATAACCCTTAGATTAATCAAGTGAAAGAAAATTTGGAGTTTAATCAAGTGAGAGAAAATTAATCTAAAGGTTATATTTTAACCCTCTCATCTCTCATAATAAATTCTCTCTCACTTGATATGTTCCCTATATATATATATATATACACACCAGAATAAAATACTAAAAAGTAAAAAATCAAAATAATTTAGAAATGTTATGATTTTTTAATTTTAAAAATTAAAAGTTATAATTAGTTTTAAAAACAAAAAAAATAGTCACTCCAATGTATTAGCATCAAAATGAACTATCTAATTACTAATATATATTTTTCGAATTTAACTCCTCAACATGAAAAGCTTACTTGACAAAAAAAATGAGTAAAGAAACGTAATTGGAAACAAAAAATTTTAAAAAGTTAAATCTATATTGTTTACATTATCTCGGGTGAAAAAAGAAACAAATACCTTCGCCTAAATAGGTCGGCGAATATTTAAAAAAGTATGAAGCCTTATTTAGAAAATTAGTGTCCATTTCTCATTTGATCTTGTGATGGGAAAATTTAGATGTTCATACATCAATATTGTTGCATTTGACCTTTAGTCCCGAACAGAGATATAACTGGATTTGGTTTTAATGTGGGCCTGCAAAAAGACACTCAGAATACAGAATTAGAAAATGGGTTTAGATAGGCGTATTTATCCACACACACCAAAAAAAAAAACAGATAGTGAGATGACAATACAATACCTTACTACTTAACCCGCTCCATGTATAATAAATTTTAAATAAAAAAATATTATTGTTATGCAAATTAGTACATACAACTAATTGTGTTATTTTAGATAATATCTTACAAATTATTTTTTTTTATAGACATGATGTCTTAAAACTGAAAAAATTATTAGATAATATAGAATCACCAAGTGTTTATTGTTCTAACCAACTATTGCATGACATATATTTAAGTTTTTCAACTTACAAAGAATCAATAATTACATTTGATTATGTCATATAAAGGTTAATTAGAAATCATATGATTCAGGACCATCTAATAATTTCTCAACTGAAAGTCAAAAATTAATTAGAGATTGCAAGATTTTCGTTAACCAAACATTATTTTTTCAAATTATTATATAAAAATAAAAAAAATAAAAAAAACTCTTTGCATTATTTCGATTTCAAAATTCACTTATGCTTTATCTGGAATGTAGTGTAGACAACATAAAACGTTTGAAATGATCCCGCTAAGTACAACCACATATAACAATCAATAAGTGCTTTACCTCTTTCTATTATAAAAATGAACACAATAGATACGCGCTCTTTAGCCTATACTGAACACACTGAACAGTTAGAAATAGTTCAGAACAAGCACTTGATGTACAAACATGCTAGACTAAGGACATTGTTCATCGTATACAAGATCTTAAAAAGTCATTCGAAGTTGAATTGAGACTCAGGAATTAACAAAAAAAAAAAAACATGTTACATAAAATTGAGAAAGAATGAGCATATCTCCCAGCATGTTTATCTTGTCATAGAAAACACAATATAGACTGAAATCAGCAGCTGATGGAATATCATTCAATTAAGAATGTACAGTATATGATAAGGTTTCCATTTTCATCACTCGAAAATATTATGGCATGTCAGCAGACTATTCTCATATTCATCCATCCCATGAAGAATAATTTACCAATCAGCAGAAGCCTTTGATTTCTTTGAGGCCTATATGCTTGATTCTAGATACCCACGTGCATAAATTCAAAAGTTCTAGGAGCCTTGGGATGATTTGTATATCCGATATGCAGCTATGCACATTGTGGCATTACCTATAACAGTCAGTGCCGCTTGAAGAGCCACCAATACCTACAACCCCAATCATTTCATACCTTATCAGATTTTATCAATATGGAACGACCATATGTATATTATTGTTATCCAACAAGACAATTTTCTCAAGTGTCACACTAACATAGATGACAAAAGAATGGATCTCACGTTACAACTCAGTAACCCAGAAATGATACTTTACTGTATTCTGGCAAGTGGTAAATTGGAACAGTGCTTAGTTTATTTTGTAGAAAAATAACAAATTTTTAGTCGGTGTTCAGATTGAAGTAGGTAGCAATATCTAATTCTATACCTTTACAGGAAGGGGTTCTCCCACTTAGTCGCTATTTCTTACTTTTTCCAACAACCGAATATTCTGTTTCTACTAACTAAAAGAGAAAAAAATGACATTTCAAATTAACTTAGAGCAGGTTTTTATTCAGTTTCTAGATTTTAAAAAGAGAAAACTAATTTAATTCTGTTGTAAAGAATGAAATTAGATTTCAGTTTATAAAACAGAATGGTAAGTGGTGATGGTAGGAAAGAAAACAGGCAAAGCTTTGCCGGGCTAGAGAGAAAGGGTTGGCAACTCTACCCAGGTTCTCACTCTGTCAAAATTCAATCTTCCCCCTCCCCCAACACACACACACAGAGAACATATTTAATGTTTTGCTAATTTTCTTATTCAAAGACAACAAAATTCATTCAAGGACATTGGCTATAGATGATTTATAATCTAAGTATTGAACAGCAACAATATTATGTAGTCAAAAGTTCTGTAATAAGAAAACTTCCTCAAGGATTGGTGCAAAGTCAATGCTGAGTTTAGAAATGTTCTTAAAAGATAAAACAACTGTTGAGCACACAAGTCCGACTCTAAGGCTAAGTTTAGATATGTAGTGGTGGGTGGAATGGAATGATATAAAACAAAATGGAGTGAAATGGAACGAAATTATCATTCCATTATTTGGATATTTTTATGATAGAACGGAAAAAGAAGACCTGTTTCATCCTTCAAATTGGAAGGGAATAAAAAGTTAGTGCGGCTTATTGGTCCAGTTAACAAGCTTTTCAGTTGTGAGCAAGTCTTTAGCTAACTGTTTAAGTTAGTTATGTAGCTGTTACTTATGCTATAAATAGCTGGTTGTATCTTGCTCACGATGATATATTGTTTTCCCGAAATTTCTTCTTTCTCTTGCATTGTGAGTGAAAAATCTGTACACTTGTAGGAATTGAGATTGTATTCGGACGAAAGAGAAATCTATTAATTTCAGTGGCTGTTGTGGATGTAGAATTAGAGTGCATCGCTCTAATTTGAACCACGGTAAATTTTTGTGTATGTGTGTGTTCTTTTTTTCCCCTAACCTTTGTTTCTATCAACTCTTGAAATTGTTGTAAAGTTTTGACTCTGATCAAGGCTTTGGTACTGTGATAAAGAATTTGTATGGGGAAACAAATTGTTTGGCACTGTTTCCACAACAGTTAGTTATTTGATGGAATAGAATGGAATGCAGTCCATCCTAGTCCAAAACATATCATCCTAATTCAAACTATCCAAACAATGGAACACGGTTTCATTCTATTTCATTTCATTCCAGTCCAACAACCCAGACATAGCAAAGCTCCAAATCCATGGTTAAGAGTGTTAATGAAGCGGTCTGATCTATAATTCGACAAATATAAAGAATTCCATGTTCTGGGGTGGATGCAGAGTTTAGTGATCCTTGCTTCCCCCCAAATAAAATTGCATGTTCTTAAAAATTTAAAATAAATGTTCAACAACATTGTAAGAGAGTAAATGACTGTTGAAGTTTGGTGAGTGACGATAAAGCAATTATTACTTGTGTAGGAAGGATGAAAAACCCTCTTACTTACCTCGAGGGACTCAGAGTTATAAAAGAAATGCCATGTGCATGCACAAAAAGCTCCACCAAGTAGAGGAACCTAGAAGAAAAGGAAAATATGAGAGGTAGATATATAGATTATAGAGTGAAGAAAGTGAAGTGAGTAACTCACCATACCCCAAGAAAGGCCCTTCCAAGCTGTGTATCCAGATTTGTCGGCGTATTGCCACACCAAGAGCATGGCTATAATCCTTTGAAACAGTGAAGAGTGTGAGAAAAGGGAAATGCATGATAATGATGAGATAAGAACAAAGGATGGAGAAAGTAAAGAGACCATTCAGCGACGCTGGAGACATGAATGGCCCAGGTGGGCAAAGAGAGGGCATTGGGGGGTTCGTGGAGTTGAAGACACGAAGCGGGTTCGACAAAGTTGAGGAAATGGAACAGACCAAGTCCCATCACACCCGCTTTCGCTTTGCTTTTAATTTCATACTTCACAGATCCAATTCCGCTGTGGCTGACTCTTGGACACGGAATTTTGGGAAAAGAAGATGGTTTTGCCAACAACAACGTTGCCATGGTCGGAGACAGACACTAACTGCAACTGTTGGACTTTGGATAACACCCTTTCTCCTTCTTTCGTTTCATTTTTCAATAATTAATTATTTATAAGTACTTTTCCCCCTGATTTTTATAATGATCTTTTTTTTAAAATAATAATAATAATAATTAGATCCTCGGACTTAAAAAAATTGTAACTTTTTTAAATTGATATTTGGGAATGAATTCTTTTATATTGAATTTTCAATTAGATTTTCTCTAATGATAATCTTTACCATTAAAATTTTATACTTTCTTTAATTTATTTTTAAAATCCTTTTTAATTAATTTTAATTAAAGATTAAGACTTCACTTACATTATTTTTTTTATAAAGAGGAAATAAATGAAGGGAAAGAAAGAAAAAACAAGTGTGGAGAAGTGTAAGAAAATACAGAAAAAACAAAAATTGTTTAGTAAGAGAGAAGTAGAAAGAAAATAGAGAAAGTTAACTTTTTTATAGATAATTTAAAAAAATATATTATTATTATTTTTAATTAATAAAAATATATCATCAATAAATAAATAATGAAAAATTGAAAAAACGTAGTGGTATTGTGTTCTTGGTGGGTGCGAACGAAATCGAGGGCTTTTCCTCTCTCCAAATATTCTCTCTATCTGGTAGCCTGCAAGATTGATAACATGGATCGCAGAGTTTAATTGTTGAATTGAGGCTTTTAGGTACGTTTTCCTTGATTTCTGGTTATTGGATTGCGTGCGTTTCAGAATTCCCAGATCTTGTTTTCTCTTTCGGTTTTTGCTACTTGTACTCGAGTTTTAGCTTTTAAGGTTGCAGTAGCTTCGAGGATTTTCGCTTTGGATCTCGAGGTTTAGCTCTGAGCTTGAGGTTAGGAATTGGGCGAGGTGAAGAAATCTGCGATTAATTGAGCGTGTTTTGGTGGGATCAAGGGGAATCGGTGAAGGGTTAGGGTTTTTGGTGATGGCTTCGAATCCTCCATTTCACATGGAGGATCAGACGGATGAGGATTTCTTTGACAAACTGGTTGAGGATGATATAGAGCCTATTGTTAAGTCTGGCCATGACGACGACGAAGGGAATGATTGGGATGAAGCTAAAGCATTTGCAAATCTGGGAATCAGTGATGTTGATGCTGCTGCATTTGAGAATTCTGATGCTGGCGAGAGTGGGGTTGAAGTCAAAGGGGAATTGGGTGCTGTGGAATCCGATCTGGGAGTTGAACAAGAGGGGAATTCGTTGCCATCCTCTAGTTCAGTTGGATTTGATAGTAAAGTGGATCCCAGTGATGATGGGACTGTGGTGGGATCGGAATTCACGTCCACTTCAGCAGGAGTCAACATCAGTGCATATTTTACAAACTAAAATATTAGTTTTTATAATTTTAAAAATTAATTATAAAAATATCCTTATATTATAAGGTAACTTATTTATCATAATTTCAAAATACTTATATATTTATTAATATTTATCATAAATTATAGTTATAATATAATAATTTAAATATTAATTTATTTTAAATTTTAATTAAATATAATAAATATTTATAGACACTGTATATACTAGAATGGTACAAAAATAAAGCTTGTTGCAGAAACTGTAAAAGATTTAGCTTGGGAATTCATCTATCTGTCTTTCTAAAGTTTAACACTTAAACTTTTACAAAACTTTTCTAATTGTTCCCTTGGATAATATAGGAGTCCTCTGAAATCTGAATCCACACCCTTGCTAAAATACCGAATGTGTAATGTGGAAGTAGCATTGCATATTTTTAATGTCACTTTTTGTCACAGTATTTATTTTTCCTTTTTCTTTTTAACGACCTACACAAAGAATTTCACACTAACATTTTGCTAATTACCAAAAAGTCATTTTTTTTATATATTTATAAACACAAAATCAACGTGAAAAATAAATTAAAAAAAATGGATAAACAGAAGAAAACTACACGAGGTGAACAAAATATATCATCAATAAATAAATAATGAAAAATTGAAAAAACGTAGTGGTATTGTGTTCTTGGTGGGTGCGAACGAAATCGAGGGCTTTTCCTCTCTCCAAATATTCTCTCTATCTGGTAGCCTGCAAGATTGATAACATGGATCGCAGAGTTTAATTGTTGAATTGAGGCTTTTAGGTACGTTTTCCTTGATTTCTGGTTATTGGATTGCGTGCGTTTCAGAATTCCCAGATCTTGTTTTCTCTTTCGGTTTTTGCTACTTGTACTCGAGTTTTAGCTTTTAAGGTTGCAGTAGCTTCGAGGATTTTCGCTTTGGATCTCGAGGTTTAGCTCTGAGCTTGAGGTTAGGAATTGGGCGAGGTGAAGAAATCTGCGATTAATTGAGCGTGTTTTGGTGGGATCAAGGGGAATCGGTGAAGGGTTAGGGTTTTTGGTGATGGCTTCGAATCCTCCATTTCACATGGAGGATCAGACGGATGAGGATTTCTTTGACAAACTGGTTGAGGATGATATAGAGCCTATTGTTAAGTCTGGCCATGACGACGACGAAGGGAATGATTGGGATGAAGCTAAAGCATTTGCAAATCTGGGAATCAGTGATGTTGATGCTGCTGCATTTGAGAATTCTGATGCTGGCGAGAGTGGGGTTGAAGTCAAAGGGGAATTGGGTGCTGTGGAATCCGATCTGGGAGTTGAACAAGAGGGGAATTCGTTGCCATCCATATATATAACATAATAACTCCTTTTATTTTAAATATAACAAATAAATTTATATTTATTATTTATCATTAGTAGTAGTTTATTTATTATTTATTATTAATATTGATCTTAATATTAATATTATTATTTTTGTAACC